AAATTACAAATCACAGCTATAATATTAGAAGGATGCCTATATTCTCTGATGTCTGCTTTGTGTCTTATGATGAATATGATAGCTATGGATTCCTGACTGACACTACATTCTTTGCTTATTTCTGTCTGAAGGCTTAGTACTATACAGATATCACTTGTCTGTGTCAAAACTAAAACTGAAATATTAAATATGAACAGAAATCTACAGAACAAAAAATCTGTTAAATATCTGTCCTCCCTCTAAGCAAAATATGAAAACATCCATTTATACAGTGCTAAAGCAATAAAGGCAAAGGAAAAATGTACATAAATTATTTCTCAAGTGGACTAGTGGATTTGCTTGCACGTATTAAACAAATCAAATTATAACAGGCTGCTGCATCTATATACTACCTCATACTCAGTGGCCTTGAATGATAGCGGTAACTGTCACAGGCTTATAATAGCCAAGGACTCACTAGACATCTTTTGCAACAAAAATGTTAGTATGCAAGACATTAATTTGCTTAGATTTTGCTGATACAGTTTGAGTTTATGTGAGGAGTTTCTTTTTTACTAATCCTTTATACACTTTGCATGTTGTACTGTATATCTGATCTCAGTTTTTAAGTGGTTGACTGATTCTATTGTGATACTATGAATATACTATTAGTTCAGTGTAAGATGAAGCTATAGAAGGTAAAATTGGTAAAATCAAGACATTATGTGCCATTTTTCCCAATAATTATAGGTATAATTGTTAATGGTCATGGAGTGTTATTTACTTTTGGAGTAGTATTTGGAATGCAATAGTTATTTTCCAAGATTTGTACATATATTGGAATCAAATATCTCTGGTCATTATTATGCTTCTGAGGTTTCAGAAATGGATGGAAAAATATTACTTAGGAAAAAAATGTATATATTTATTTGCTAAATCATATTCTGCACATGATGCAGAAGGTATGTACATAAATTTCTTTTTTAAATATAAAAACATTTAAAAGGTCATATTGCTGACGACCTCAGTTTAAATTGATGTCCTAGGTATACTCAAGTTAGCAAAATCTACTAGATTCATTATAAAAATATCTGAAATTGCTAATATTCCTTTCTTATAGCTTTAATGACACCAATGGCATTTTCTGATACTCCTTCAAGACAATCTGTGCAGACCGGAAAACCTGCTGACTTTATTTATGGCAAAGATCTTGATATCAAAAGGTATGTAACTGCATTAATAGAACATAAAGAAATGTCTTAACCTCCATAAATAACCTGCACAGAAGCTCAGTCCCAATACTTAATAAGGCCATCCCAGCCAGCTGTTGCAAGTTTACTTGTCTCATGTGGGTGCCACAAGATGCCAATGCAAACATCATCATGGGCCTTCCATTTCTGGTAAAGCTTCGTTGTTTTCCAGTCCCAAACATAGGCTTTCCCATCAGCATCGCCTGATACAAGATAAGACATGTCTGGAGAAAAGTCAAGGGTGCAGGCATATCCAGCTACCATGTGCCCTGTGAAAGTCTTTTTACGGTTCATCTTGAATCTATCCAGAGCAGAGAATATCACAATCTTATTATCCATGCTTTGACATGCTAACCACTTCTTATTTGGTGAGAGTGTCACAGCAGGCATGGAATGCATAGTGGGATCTGCTATGTACTTAAAATCAACAGGGATATCCCACTCCCACACACGCAAACTCTTGTCATCTGATGTGGAGACAAATCTTCTGTTTTCATCAATAAATGTTATCGTGTTAACAGCTCCTAAATGACGATCATATTCTTGAACTACTTCACCAGTTCTAATATCCCAGCATACAATTTTCTTATCTGAAGTTCCTGCAACGAATAAATTCTGCTTTTCTTCATCAGGATGGAATTTAACACAATAGGGTATCTTGCGACTGGTGAACCTTGATACGCAATCTCCTGTTTCAGTGTCCCAAAGCTTAATGAAACGATCATAACCAGCTGAAAGGAACTGTTTTCCATCATTATCGAAGCAGGCATCTCTGACTGCCTGTTTGTGCCCCATATAAGTCCTAATGCACCGTCGGTTATTATACACCTCCCAGATTTTAATCTTTGTGTCCATAGAACATGACAACATGAGGTGACCTGATCCTGGGAACCATTTGATTGCTGAAACACCTTTGTTATGCCCCTTCCATGTGTGTATCAACTTCTTTGGCATGAAACACTTCTCTGGAGGGTCTGGAGATCTCAAGTTAACACCAACATCTTGTGGGACATGAAGGAAAGATCGTCCCTGGTAATCATAAGCATCCTTAATATGGAGAAGAGACTTCTCTTCAATGGGTTTATCATCTGTCTGTTTCCCACGTTTTTGTCTTTTGGCCAAAATCTCATCTAGTGCATGCTGCTCCTCCTCTGAGGGCTTCATGACTGTCTGTTCATTTTCGTACTTGGCCCAGGGTCCTTTAAAGCCATCAATGTCACCTGCATCATCATTCTTGTCACGACGTCGTTTTGTTGGCTGATCAGGTTTAT